CCTGTCAATCCTGAAGCGAACCTGTTGGATGAGCAATAATCAGTAAATACACCTTAAAGACTGTGGAACAATATGAAATCGTAAGAATTTGCAATTAAAAAATAAAAAGCACAGTTGACCTGGGCTGGAAAATCACCACCAAATGCTGCTGGTTCAAGTTTCATTCCACCAGAAGATGACGCCTCAAAAATACCATACATGAGCTTAAGATCAAAATCAAAGAGAAAAAGCTTGACACCAGGTTTGATTCCCATAATAATGTCTTTCTTCATAGCTGAGACACCCATCACATGATATCTAAAACAATCGTCTTTGGTCTTTGCATTGCACATGAAAATCACTCCACCGATACTCTTTTCAGTTTTTCCATCATTCTTCACATCTACACTCATTTCACTTGTACTTCTCTTTTCTTTGCTTCTACTGCTTATGTACTGGGACTTTCTAGCATCTTTTTTATCAAAATTATTTCCTTGGTTGCCATCTTTTGACGCCTTCTCCTTGTTTCTGGATTGAGATTGTGGAGCGCCCTCAGCTTCTTTCATTTGTGCAGAGTTTAAGTTAGAGGACTTTTTTGCAAGTTTACCTTTAGCCTTTAGTTCCTTGGGGGTTTTATTCTCTCGAGGTACATTTCCAGAACTAGATGCGGCAGGATTATTTCTCTTTTTCTTGTTTTTCTTGGAAGCCATACTCGTCCCTGCTAGTTATTTCCCTAAGAAAAACTATAAACATGAAAGATAAATTCCTGAAAAGAGATTTCATAAAACCAGGTATTTCTGCTAGCTACAAGCTAGAGACTGTTGGGACAGAGTGACAGACATAGTTTGTCATAAAATTCCTATAATAAGAGAATAGGCCTATTATGAAAGACATGCAGACCTACAAGGACCTGAATGCTTCTGAATTTACTGACATAGACGATTCATTTACATTCCACAATCATCACTTCATTAGAATCTATCTGCAACTCTATTTTTTATGATAAATAAAAAGACCCTCATATCATTCAACATAATGCGGCTCTTTAAGTGTTGACAGTTGCAGGATCATGGTCTCTCTTTTTCTCTCTTGTGGTATAAGAGTGGTGTTTGGCCAACTTATGTGTACCTCGACAGTTCTACTAGGTGCCGCATCATCAAATACTACAGGTCAGGCGTAACTCTGTCCATTAAAGATTAGGGAGATGGGATAAAATCAATTGTCATATTAACTTTTTTTTTACCTCTAATCGATATGAACCCTAGTCTCCCATGGTTTTCATAACAACTTCATCAACTACTATGCCACACCATTGGGTGCAAGATCGTGCGGTCTCTGAACTACCTCTAACGAAAATCACCAAGTTTACAAAACTTAACTACCCTACTCCTTCAAAAGGATGAGGAAATAGCCAGTTGTCAACATGCTACCTCATGATACTTTTGTTATTTTCTCTTTTTCCATTCTCCTGACAAGCAGTTTTCAATAAAATGAATATGTGTTAATGAATAAATGTGTATTTTCTTCAATAAAGAAAAAGAGCAACGCTGCATGTATGCAGTTAACTGATTGACTAAACTGCTCATTTCTGCAGTCACTCTCCTAAAGCGACAAGTAACATCTTGTTGGAGGACAAGAATTCGACTTTTATAAAACAGTTTTATGGCAATCCTAGATAATTAGTATCATCTTATAATACAACCTACTTTGTGATGACTATTCCCTTCATTTCATTTTATATGACTGTGTTTGACTGGGCACAAAGATTTAAGAAAAAAAAGGAAGACTTTTTGCACATACCAAAAGTATTCTTAAAACTTGTGTCTTAAGCATTCCATGATATCTAAGAGCATGTCATTGAGGATAAAATAGGGAGTTTAAAGTTAAAGGTTCTTCAAATATAGAAGGTATCATTCTTTTTAGAAACAGACCAAAAAAGGAAAGTGTGTTAAACAAAACGGAATGAGGGAGTAGAAATTATTAGTTATTGCAGAAGTGCAGATTTATCTGATATATCCTATCATTGTTGAAGTCTTTTACGTTGGCAAAAACTTAACGTTCGTCAACACTTCATAAAAAAGAGAATTTTTGTTGCTGAAGAGTCAGACAGAGTTCTAATTCTGTCACATCACGACATAAATATTTCTCCAGTAACCTGATGTGACACTGTGACCAGTCGAGAAGAATCTTTTATTTCATACACATCCAAACTGTTCCATTTCTTTATGTTGCATCCACCTCTACTGAAACATTTCCAACTAATAGGTAAAAAAACTCAAGTCATTATGGGTCAAATACTCGGAAATTATTTTCTAAATAAATGCTTTAGATGATTGGGGGCTTTTTGTAGACAATGACAGATTGTCTGATAATGAGCAAGGAATATCTTGTCTTTCTGCTAAACAGGATGAATGAACACATAACTTTTACCTTATAAAAACAAGGATGAATTGAACATATAATTAATTAGATGTTTTTTATGATCAACTAAGCATCGCAAGTAAATTGCTAACAGTTGTTCAATTTTTGACTAAATGTCTCTACTTTTTGTATAGTTCTCGTATCGGTGTATTTTCCAAACGAATCAAAAGAAAAAAGTGGCCTTGTTTCTTTCTTTCTTTCACCTTTTTTAGGAGAGAAGCTCAGAAAACTAGTTTAAGCATAACTAAATGAGAACTTTGAACCACATAAAATGCAAATTAACTAGTATTCACAAACTATGACAAATTGGAAAAGGAAGCCTCGTTATGCAAAAAGGAGCAGCTACACAAGATATTACAATAAAATATATAACTTAATTTGGATAAAACCGTCTAGAATCATCAGGAAGAGGAATTAGGGTTTATGTGGCGGTCAATTTCACCGGAGAAAGAGGGATACTTACAAGTAAAGTTCACCGGCGAAAGAGTGAGGGTCGCACAATCGACTTGGCAGAGACCAAATTGATGTTAGCCTCTTAGGAGGTGGGTTATTGGACCGAAGTCAGTCCGAATTTGATATCCTTCTGTTTATTGGGCTTCTGATTTGGAATCTAGGTTGGACCAGTCAAATCCTTTCCTTGCCTCGGCACATAGTCTTAAGCAGGGAAAATTAGGTGACACATCAAACATTTAAACCGTATTTACTATTTGTAGCTAGATTTCAGTAAATTTATTATTTATAGCTATATTTAAATTTTATAGTAAATCTATGAATAAGTGACTAATTGTTTTTAACTGAAATAAGAGAGCAACAAGCTCTCCTAGTTGAGTTGGTTAAAGCGCACGCTTAATTAGCAAGGTCTTGAGTTTGACTGTCTACAAGAACATTTTATTTTTCTGTATATTTTTCTGAGTTGGTTGCGCGAACAAATACAATTGATACATGTTATATTCTTTGTATACACCCTTGTATTTCGCCTTGGTTATGGTTGATACATATTGTATTCGTCGCACGAATGAATACAACTGTGCGAAAGAACACAATTGATACACGTTATATTCATTGCGCGATCGAATATAGTTGACACAGGTTGTATTCTTTGCGCGTTTGAATACAAGTGATACAAGTTAGTAACAATTGAATGGTAGCTAGAATAGTAATTAGGCAAACTATAGTTATTAAGCTCTAACCAGTAGTGGTTTATGAATTATTTTACCTCACTCTAATTTTATTTAAAAAAATAAATTGTTATTTAATTTGATCGATTATTTTGTAAAAATAAAATAGTTGTTCTGATGGAAAATAAGTTATTACTTAAGAAATTAGTGGGTCCATCCTTACTCTTATTTTTAAGAAGTACTTTTGATAATTTAATGGGATTATTATTTCGTATATAAGTCAAAAAATTTATTTATATTAAAAATTAATTTAATGATAGTTAATAAATATTGGTTTCAAGGGGAGAACTCATGTAATGATATCGAATTATATATGCGTTTTCAACTACTATATATATATAT